AACACTGCACTTCCCCCAATAACACTGCACTCACCAAAATACACTCCCTTCACCCCAATAACACTGCACTCACCCCAATACACTCCCCTCATCCCAATAACACGGCACTCACCCCAATACACTCCACTCACTGCAATACACAACACTCACCCCAATAACACCGCACTTCCCCCAATAACACTGCACTTCCCCCAATAACACTGCACTCACCAAAATACACTCCCCTCACCCCAATACACTGCACTTTCACACTGCATGCAACACTCCCAAACAAGGTGTCTTTGTCCTATACATGTTTCAACACCAAAAACACATACTCCAATACATCAGACACAACTTTTTTTCTGCTACACATCCAGTATAGAACAAACTCTTCAACTGTACTACACAAACACAATGACAGTACTACACACACACGCCATGACAGTACTACACAAACACAGCGACAGTACTACACAAACACCATGACATTATTACACACACACGCCATGACAGTACTACACAAACACCATGACATTATTACACAAATACAGCGACAGTACTACACAAACACAGTGACAGTACTACACAAACACAGTGACAGTACTACACACACACGCCATGACAGTACTACACAAACACAGCGACAGTACTACACAAACACCATGAGATTATTACACACACACGCCATGACAGTACTACACAAACACCATGACATTATTACACACACACACGCCAGACAGTACTACGCACAAACACCATGACATTATTACACACACACGCCATGACAGTACTACACAAACACCATGACATTATTACGCAAACAACAGTACTACACAAACACAGTGACAGTACTACACAAACACATATGACAGTACTACACACACTTACAATACGGCATCAGCACCCTATTCAAATTATATTTTCTCATTTACCTAAATAATTGATGTAAATAACAGTCAGCATAATTCTCATGTTATCAACTATTAAGAGTACAATTCAAATTTTATTGAACAAACCTCCTAATGATAACAGTATTTTTTTTAAACATAAAAAACTTACACTGCACTGTTCCAAATTATTACGCACCGTAAGTTTCAAAACACTTTATAGGATGTAAAGAACTGAAAATTGTCATTTGTTGTGTTTGCAGCACATTTACTGAAATCAAAAGCTATTTCAATCAAACTTATAACAACATTTTAACTTTTTTAACATTTTAACAGGTCACGTTACATTTTAACATAGGAACCCTTATTTGACGGCAGCTTCACAAGTCTTGCATCCATAGAACTTGTGAGTTTGTGGACAGTTTCTGCTTGAATTTGTTTGCAAGATGTCAGAATAGCCTCCCAGAGCTGTTTTTTGGATGTAAACTGCCTCCCAGCCTCATAAATCATTTGCTTGAGGATGATTCAAAGGTGCTCAATAGGATTGAGGTCAGGGGAGGATGGAGGCCACACCATGACTTTCTCTCCTTTTATCCCCATAGCAGCCATTGATGCAGAGGTATTCATTGCAGCATGAGATGGTGCATTGTCATGCTTGAAGATGATTTTATTGCGGAAAGCATAGTTCTTCCTTCTGTACCAGGGAAGAAAGTGGTCAGTCAGAAACTCCACATACTTTGCAGAGGTCATCTTTACTCCTTCAGGGATCCTAAAGGGGCCGACCAGCTCTCTTCCCATGATTCAAAACATGACTCCACCACCACCTTGCTGACGTCGCAGCCTTGTTGGAACAGGGTGGCCGTCCACCAGCCATCCACTACTCCATCTATCTGGACCATCCAGGGTTGCACGGCACTCATCAGTGAACAGGACTGTTTGAAAATTAGTCTTCATGTATTTTTCTGCCCAATGCAGCCATTTCTGCTTGTGAACATTGGTTAGTGGTGGCCGAATAGAAGGTTTATGCACAGTTGCAAGATTCTGGAGGACTCTACACCTTGATGTCCGTGGGACTCCAGAGGCACCAGCGGCTTCAAATATCTGTTTGCTGCTATGTAATGGTATTTTAGCAGCTGCTCTCTTGATCCGATGCATGGATCTGGCAGAAATCTTCCTCAATGTGCCTTTATCTGCACAAACCTGTCTGTGCTCTGCCACAAATCTCTTAATAGTGCGATGATCATGCTTAGGTTTTCATGAAATATCTAATGTTTTCATACCTCGTCCAAGGCATTGAACTATTTCACTCTTTTCGGCAGCAGAGAGATCCTTTTTCTTCCTCATATTGCATGAAAGTGGTGCTCTGCTTAATAATGTGGAACACCCTCCTTTAGTAGTTTTTCCTTAAATTGGGCTCACCTGGCAATCTAATTATCACAGGTGTCCGAGATTGTTTTCAGTGATTAAAAGAGCCTGAGATACAATGCCATCCATGAGTTAAACTGAAAAACAAAATATTTAATCTTTGTGACACTTAAATAGAATTTGCATAATAATTTGGAATAATTCTTTACTCTTAACATACACTTACAAATATCCAGTCAATGCCACAAAAATTTATTTAAAAATTGTTAATTTATTAACAGCATTTCTGAAAAAGGAAAGATGGATAGATCTTAAGAATAGGGTTTTATACAACAGCATGGAGTCCTCTTCATATCTGGGTCAATGAATGAGAGTTGATTCAAGTGGTCTGTCGAGGATCTGGAGATTCGTAGAATGGTCACAGTTTGAAGCGTAGATAGTATCTTCTCTTATGGAGGGCGTTCTAGGAGATCAGCGGGACATCATTCGGACAAACTCTGTTGGGAGAGAAATTTCAGTCCTTAGTCTGATCACGAGAATAAATTATATACAGTCATTTTAAAAATGAAACTCAGAACATACTGTCTGTGTCTCCCTGCACACAGTGTATTATAACTGCAGCTATAAGGTTATGGTGTAAGCAGGTCCCCTGTCTCCCCACACACAGTGTATTATAACTGCAGCTATAAGGTTATGGTGAAAGGAGGCCCCCTGTCTCCCTGCACACAGTGTATTATAACTACAACTATAAGGTTATGGTGTAAGGAGGTCCCCTGTCTCCCCACACACAGTGTATTATAACTGTATTAGGCCCCCGTCTCCGCAACGGCCGCCGCTATAAGGTTATGGTGTAAGGAGAGTCCCCTGTCTCCCCGCACACAGTGTATTATAACTGCAGCTATAAGGTTATGGTGAAAGGAGGCCCCTGTCTCCCCGCACACAGTGTATTATAAGTGCAGCTATAAGGTTATGGTGTAAGGAGGTCCCCTGTCTCCCCGCACACAGTGTATTATAACTGCAGCTATAAGGTTATGGTGTAAGGAGGTCCCCTGTCTCCCCGCACACAGTGTATTATAACTGCAGCTATAAGGTTATGGTGTAAGGAGGTCCCCTGTCTCCCCGCACACAGTGTATTATAACTGCAGCTATAAGGTTATGGTGTAAGGAGGTCCCCTGTCTCCCCGCACACAGTGTATTATAACTGCAGCTATAAGGTTACGGTATAAGGAGGTCCCCTGTCTCCCTGCACACAGTGTATTATAACTGCAGCTATAAGGTTATGGTGTAAGGAGGTCCCCTGTGTCCCAGCTGCACACAGTGTATTACACAGTGTATTATAACTGCAGCTATAAGGTTATGGTGTAAGGAGGTCCCCTGTCTCCCCGCACACAGTGCATTATAACTGTAGCTATAAGGTTATGGTGTAAGGAGGTCCCTGTCTCCCCACATACAGTGTATTATAACTGCAGCTATAAGGTTATGGTGTAAGGAGGTCCCCTGTCTCCCACACCCAGTGTATTATAACTGTAGCTATAAGGTTATGGTGTAAGGAGGTCCCATGTCTCCCCGCACACAGTGTATTATAACTGCAGCTATACGGTTATAGTGTAAGGAGGTCCCCCGTCTCCCAGCACACAGTGTATTATAACTACAACTATTAGGTTATGGTGTAAGGAGGTCCCCCGTCTCCCAGCACACAATGTATTATCACTGCAGCTATAAGGTTACGGTGTAAGAAGGTACCCTGTCTCCCCGCAGACAGCATATTATCACTGCAGCTATAAGGTTACAGTGGAAGGAGATCACCTGTCTGCCCGCATACAGTGTATTATAACTGTAGCTATAAGGTTATGGTGTAAGGAGGTCACCTGTCTCCCAGCACACAGTGTATTATAACTGTAGCTATAAGGTTACGGTATAAGGAGGTCCCCTGTCTCCCTGCACACAGTGTATTATAACTGCAGCTATAAGGTTATGGTGTAAGGAGGTCCCCTGTGTCCCTGCACACAGTGTATTATAACTGTAGCTATAAGGTTACGGTATAAGGAGGTCCCCTGTCTCCCTGCACACAGTGTATTATAACTGTAGCTATAAGGTTACGGTATAAGGAGGTCCCCTGTCTCCCTGCACACAGTGTATTATAACTGCAGCTATAAGGTTATGGTGTAAGGAGGTCCCCTGTGTCCCTGCACACAGTGTATTATAACTGTAGCTATAAGGTTACGGTATAAGGAGATCCCCTGTCTCCCTGCACACAGTGTATTATAACTGCAGCTATAAGGTTATGGTGTAAGGAGGTCCCCTGTGTCCCTGCACACAGTGTATTATAACTGCAGCTATAAGGTTATGGTGTAAGGAGGTCCCCTGTCTCCCCGCACACAGTGTATTATAACTGCAGCTATAAGGTTATGGTGTAAGGAGGTCCTCTGTCTCCCAGTACACAGTGTATTATTACTGCAGCTATAAGGGTATGGTGGAAGGAGGTCCCCTGTGTCCCTTGCGCGCTGTTTTCTGATGCCGGGAGCTGAAATATAAATACAAAGAAACTAGTCCTGCTCTCAAACTCCCATTACTCCTTTCCACCCAGGAGTAATGGGAGTTTGAGCGCAGGACTAGTTTCTTTGTATTTGTATTCACTTTTGTATCACACAGCTTGGGTGCAATGCTGCTGCCATCCAATGTGTTCCCTATTACGGGTTATTAAGCATGTAGGGATGTACATAAAAATACCCTCTCATGGCCATTGGAGGTAACTAAAAACCTCCATTTATTTAAAAATACATCGGGGTGTGGAAAGAGCGCAGGCAAAAAAAAAATTATTTGGAAGCTGAAATATGATGTCTTATTCCGTCTCCCGGCATCAGTAGACAGCCCGCGCGAGGGAGCAGAGCAGAGCAGAGAGAACACAGCTCCATCACCACGTGTGACAGGGAGACAGCCGTCTGCCTCACTGCAGCCCCACTGGAAAATGTGGGAAATGTTAATTTGAATAATAGTAATAATTTGTATATATGTCTGTTTGTGTGTATGTATGTCTGTTTGTGTGTGTGTGTGTGTGTGTGTGTATGTATGTCTGTTAGTGTATGTATGTATGTGTGTGTGTTTGTGTATCTCTGTTAGTGTATGTGTGTATGTCTGTTAGTGTATGTGTGTGTGTGTGAGTGTATTTACGTCTGTTAGCGTATGTACGTGTGTGTATGAGCTTCTGTTAGTGTATGCACATGTGTATGTGTGTGTGTATGTGTTTCTGTTGGTGTATGTTTTTGAGTGTCTGTCAAATCAGTGTGAGTCTGTTTGTCATTTAGTGTGTGTGTGACTATTAGTGTGTGTCGGTCAGTGTGTATGTGTGTGTCTCTCTGTCAATGAATGTGTGTGTGTCAGTGAATGTGTGTGTTAAATCAGTGACGTCTGTGTGTTTGTAATTGAGTGTATGTGTTACTGTCAGTGTGTATCTGCCAGTGTGTGTCAGTGAATGCGTGTGTGTCTGTCAGAGAGTGTGCTTAAAGGGACATTATAGGCACCCAGACAACTTCAGCTCATTGAAGTGGTCTGTATGCAGTGTCCCAGTCCCCTTAAACCCCAAGTGTAATTATTGCAGTTTCTCAGAAACTACAATAACTACGTTGAGGGGTAACTCCACCTCTAGTGGCTGTCTACCAGACAGCCAGTAGAGGGTGTGATAAAGTGAAGGCAGATAGGCCTTTTAACCCCAGGGGAAGTACGTGTAGTTTGTGTGTTGCACAACACAAAGCGTTGTTTAGTTATGGGCCCCTGGGGTGGAGCATTTGGAGAGAAGGGTGGGCCAATGCTCCACTCCACAGTTTAGTGGTTTTCTGGGGAGACATAGATCCAGGCCAGGGTTTTTTGGACCATCTCCAACCCACTGCTCAGGTGCAGTTAATGAGCTGTTGCAGTGGGAATAAACCCCTCCCGGCTAGGCAGGAAAAGGAGAGGGATTGCTGGCTTCCTCCCAGGAAGCAGGTAGGAGAGAGAGGCTGTTCTCTCCAGATAGAGTCAATGAGACTAGGCACTTGGAGTGCAGAAAGGAAGCAGTCAGGGCAAGGCTGGCTTGGAGCACTGGGAGTGCAGAAAGGAAAGCAGTCAGGGCAAGGCTGGCTTGGAGCACTGGGAGTGCAGAAAGGAAAGCAACAGGCTAGCCAGCAGAGTGTTGCTAGCTAATAAGGTTGGTGCAATATTGTTTTGTTTAGTTTAACCCTGAGAGATAGGGAACCTAATGTCAGTTAGTGCTCAGACGAGCTAGGTTTTTGTTTATAGGGTTTTGTGTTACATTTATGTTTTTATTTACTGCTGTATCCTGTGTGAACTTACAAATAAAGTGCCTGGAATGAAGTTGCATTAAAAGACTGTGCATGTTTTTGCCCTAGAGGACCGTGCTACCTGCTGACAAGGATCACAAGGGACTTTCGGGTGGTTAGGTGACCAAAAGGTGCATAACTGATGCTGGACGTCCTCACCATGTGCATGAGGACATCCAGCATCTGCTAAATACCCATAGGATTTTAACCCCTTCAGGTGTCGAGTGGGGGAGGGGAGGACACAAGGGAGGGGTGCACTATAGGGAATTATAGGGCCAGGAAAACAGCTTTGTTTTCCTGGCACTATAGTATTTCTTTAAAAGGAGCAGGAAAAGGTGGAGTCTAAAGAGAAAGGGGTTGGTTCTTAATCAGGAAGAGGTGCACCCTTGACAGGAACGGGTGGTAAATTTAGATTAGGGGGGGCTCATATTTAGTCAAGCAGGTCCCTTGTCTCCCTGCACACAGGCATGGATGGAATGAGCAGTAAATGTTTGTCACGCCGCCCCTGTCAGAGAGCGGTCTTGGACCCAGTGGGTGCATCTCGTTGCGTTGGCATTCCTGCCTGTTCACAATTAACTAACTCCTGTGGCGCCCGCCGGTCTCACTCCAAGTGCAGTCTCGATAGGCGCTCTTTGTGCTCCTCTTTTCACGCAGTGGTTGGGTCTGAAATCATTAGAGACGCCGGC